CGTCGGCTGGGCACCGGCGCTGGATGTGCAGATTTCGTGGCAGGCGCTGCAGATTTCGTGGCAGGCGCAGTACTTTGTGAACCTCCGTGTGCAGATCTCGTGGCAGGCACAGCACTTTGCTGCTTGCCAAGGTACGCCCTGGCGTCGGCTGGGCACCGGCGCTGGATGTGCAGATTTCGTGGCAGGCGCAGCACTTTGTGAACCTTCATGTGCAGATCTCGTGGCAGGCGCAGCAACTTTGTGAACCTCCATGTGCACTGTGTGCGGAGGGGTCGGATGTACGCCCTGGCGTCGGCTGGGCACCGGCGCTCTGCCGGTAGCATTTGCGTGCTGTGTGCGGCGCTTGCTGCTTGCCAAGGGGTCGGATGTACGCCCTGGCGTCGGCTGGGCACCGGCGCTTGATGTGCAGATTTTGTGGCAGGCGCAGCACTTTGCGAACCTCCATGTGTAGATTTCGTGGCAGGCGCAGTACTTTGTGAACCGCCGCGCGCAGATTTCGTGGCAGGCACAGCACTTTGTGAACCTCCATGCGCAGAGTTCGTGGCAGGCACAGCACTGTGTGAACCTCCATGCGCAGATTTCGTGGCAGGCACAGCACTTTGTGAACCTCCATGTGCAGATTTCGTAGCAGGCACAGCACTTTGTGAACCTCCATGTGCAGATTTCGTGGCAGGTGGCGACTTTGTAGTACAACTTTAGTACGCGGAGTATCTGCGGGGCTGGAAGATGAGAACTGGCGACTTTGTAGTACAACTTTAGTACGCGGAGCAATCTGTGGAGCTGGAAGCTGAGAACTGGCGAGTTTGTAGTACAACTTTAGTACGTGGCGCAATCTGGGGAGCTTGAAGCTGAGAACTGGCGACTTTGTAGTACAACTTTAGTACGCGGAGCAATCTGTGGAGCTGGAAGCTGAGAACTGGCGACTTTGTAGTACAACTTTAGTACGCGGAGTATCTGGGGAGCTGGAAGATGAGAACTGGCGACTTTCTAGTACAACTTTAGTACAAGCGCCAAGCAGCATACATCCACCCACACACTGATACACACTGACGAACAAGCGCACACACACAAACACACACCTCACGTACACACAGAGACCCTCACGCCTTATATCTGTCTCGCCTGTTTCTTCCCCACGCTCACTCTTCCGCACTTTACCTTTGCAGCCTCAATCTTTCGAAGTTGTTCACATGTGGGGTTATCCGGTCCTATAATTTGTTGATCAAGGGCCGTGGGCTCTGTGGCGGGGCTCTCGACTCCTGGACGCCACAGGCCCAGGTAGGTCGTTTAAGATTCCTACGGATGGCACGGCTGTTTCAGGGGAGCCTGTTCCCCTACAAACATCTTTCATCATCCTTCTTATTAATTAACCTCCACCAAAACATCTTGGCCATTGGTTTTGTTGGATTGCTGGAGTCCCTTTCCAGGTTGCCGATGATCCTGGCTTTCGCTTCTGTGCTTTTCTTTCTGAACCACCTGCTCCTTTGGGTGCGTCGCCGCAGCATGAGGCCGGTGGTTAGCCATTTTTTTTGGAGGGATGATGTCCTGATACAGAGTGTGGGAGGTGAAAAGAAGGAACATTACGGAGGATATGGCCTTAATGTTGGCTCTACTGTGCTGCGTGCAGCAAACTTTTCATGAAATCAGCATGTTCTGGCCCAACCTTGCCCCAAACACTCCCTCCCGGAACCCCTTCAGGTGCGGGCACCGCTTCAGTCCAATTCCAACACGAGAGGAAGTGGAGGAGCCGTCACCTGCGGCGAAGCTCGCCTGAAGTGAAGCAGCAGTGTAGGAGTGAGTCATTGGCGCACCCGGTGCGAGCAGTCAAAAGCAGCTATTGGACATGTGCTGGTTCAATCTGAGATGCAGATACCCTACCTGACTGTTGCTAGTTCTCATGGAACCGGGATGTGTACCTGCCCCGCCTTGGCAGGTTGTTGCAAAACGACCAGTCCCGTTGGCGCGCAGCCTTGAGCCTTTGAGTGAAGCCAAGTGAACGAGTCATCGTCATGCCTCAGTAAATTAATGAAGGCCTTGAATGAACTGAACAAATTGAATTGTGAATAGTTGTGAAGTATGGAGGGCCTGAATGAACAAATGTGAAGAAAAACAACGAACCAATGCAACATCCTCGAACATCCTTGAACCATATCATATATATAAGGATAGGTTCGTAACGCGCACACTTTTCATGCTCTCTGACCCGCGCCCTTTTTTGACCTCGATTCGATGTTAGTGCAAAATGCATAAGCATTACTTGCCAGCAAGGTCGTGAAAAAAGTCCGTATACTGGCGCCAACGGGATCCTACGAGAAATGAATGGATTTTGTATCAGTCAAGTCTTGGAATGGTCGGGAATGGTCACTTGTAATGAGGGTCTACCTTAAAGATGAGTGAGTCCTCTCTAACTATTATATAGTCATCTGGTTTAGACAGTGTCATTTTTGTTGTTGCCGGCAAAGCTGCAGGGGACATCTTGGGAATCCTTGTCAACTTGTCAAGTCAGGTGCTTCACAAGAGCGAGCTGCAGAAGGCCCAGGGAACGACGTTCAGGGTGAATCCTCATTTGGCTTTTTGGAGCCCATCAGAATGCGCCAAATCCTTCCAGTTGGCACTTGGCAACATGTACCTGCCAGCTTTTTGTTGAATTGATCCGGGGCTCTCAACACCATCTCGAGGCAATGAAGCTGTACTGTTCTTTTTTTGGCAAGTGAAGCTCCTGACAGACAGGAAAGCGTTGCCCTTTTCTTCATGGAACACTGGCGTTCAAAATTCACGTGGTATTAACACAGTTAGTAATACAGTTGTATAGTTATATTTCAATTAATTTAGTTGATGAAAGCTTCTTTAAAGATTTTAAAGACATCATTCTTGGGACACTATTTCTGCCGTTCTTGTGTTTCGCCGTTGGGATTTCAGAGCACACAGCGTGACCGGCCTGGAGACCTTCTCACTACCGCCCAAAAGTATATCATCAAGAGTGCCCGCACCGGTTAGAATCTATGTCGACGTGCTGGGCATTGGGCATCGATTTTAGGTCCTCAGAACGCTAACAAAACAGTAAAGGGCTTAACTTGTGAGCACCTGTCCGCTTTTGCAGCCAGCACGATAGCAAAATGTTTGGAGTGAGAGTTGCGGAAAAGTGCGCTTCAGCTTGCCCATGCTTCTGGGATACATTTGCAGGCTTACAGGCATTTTGCCAAGAGTGTAGAAAGCAATCGGAGATGCCGCACATGGTCAAGACATGTCAAGACCCTGCAAGACGGCAAGATATGCTCTTAAAACATAAAACATCAAAAACGATACCCTTTCTGTGGAACAGCAGCTCCCTACATTCAAACACACTCCCGCGACAAATCCAACCTTCTTGTCCCCGTCACATCGCCCCTCCGCTCTCCTTGCCGTCGTGTCAGGTTTCGTATTGACTGTTTTGCGCGGCGGTGTCCATCCTCTGCGACGCCTTCGCGGATGTCATTGGGCTCTTTGGTGCTTGCTTCGGCACGCTGATCTGCCTCATTTGGCCCTTGAGGACCAGGCGGGGGTTTATGTGGTGTCTTAGGCTGACTGGGCCGCGTGAAAAGGAGTTCAGGGAGTAAAGCTGACTGAGGTGCAGCTAGGGTGGAGGATTGAGGTGAGAGGAGAAAGGGCGTATGGCTTTTCTTGGCCAGCAAGCCTGTGATCAGCAGGAACAACAGGGTACTGTTTGTCGCAGGATATGATTGAAAGTCATGAAGACCTTGCACTCCAGAGCCCTATCCACTGTGGATTCCATGGTGCTTTTCTGGGCTGCCTCTTTGGGGATGGCAGCTTTCGTGGAACAGAAGCTCGGCTCAGAAGACGACGGCGGCAAGCTGGTGGCATAGACAGAGGTTGAGGGTCCAGAAAGAAATGGTTAGATGGATTCTTTGGTTGCCTAGCACTGCCTAGTGCATGTCGTCAATCGGCTTGGCCCATGCTTTGTGACTGAGGTTTTACCGAGTCATCACGTTTGGCTGAAGCAAGCATGCACGAACTGCTGGCCACCGATACTGACAGGCTGAGGCATTTAGATGCAGACGGCGGCCGCATGCCCCAGATTCGTAATGTGTTTTACTGTAAGCAGTCCTTCGTTTCATTATGTTTCAATCATCTTCGAACATCTGCATCTCTGGGAAGGGCCGAGGGGAAGCCAGCTGTTCTTTTGGCGGGCCTTGTGGGAAACCCTATGCCCTGTGTGTCGTAGTCCGACTGAATACTCTGGGACCTTCGCGACCGTCTTGACCCTTCCTGCCGCGACGCGTGGTCGTTCATAAGTCGTTCCAGCAAAGGTCCAAGGTGCTAGGGCCAGGGCAGAGTGGCTACTGTCTTTTGAGAGTTCTCCTTGGGCAACACCGTTTGGACAGTGGTTTTTCCATGCTTTTCCCAATGTTTGTTTCCCACTGGGGCTTGAAAATATGGACAGAGAGCCCATGCATCAACTGGGGCATTGACCAGTCACTTGTCAGTTCCGAAGGTGACTAAATCTGTCAAACTGGGTCGCGTGTGGGGGAACTGTTTGACGGGGCCAGGGGAAGCCCATGCAACTGGTCATGGGGCGGCCCACTCATGCATGTAGGATCCACTTGTACACATTACCCCGGCAGAACGCCTTGCCAGTGTGGCTCAGTTACCTTTGTGCGAAGAAGACTGCAGACCATTCTAAAGAGTGAGTCATTGTATGTGGGTCCTTGCTCAAAAGCAACCAGGTCTCTATCCAGCCAGGGTGGGGGATGTGCGTTTGTAGTTTCTATGAACGCAGCTGTGGGATCAATGTCCTCTGCTAGCTCTGGTGATGTGCCTACCCACCACCGTGTGGAAGTTCATAGAAGAAAGGAGCTCTTCAGCTAGTCTAGCAAGTCTTTCTATTTGCTCTAGTAACTCTCAACATCATCAATCTCAAGAAACGCCCAGGCTCCAGACCTGAATTCACGCCGAAACACCCCGTGGTTTCAAACGTGGGGAGATTCTCTTGGGAATCTTCTCCACCTGCGACGCCCACCTGGGCCAGTGGGGAGAGAACCCAACCGATCTGCCGCGCATCATGCCGGGGCAGGATTTGCTTTCACAGATCTGCACGTCCTGCATCCTTCTTGTCAAGTTCAAAGTGCATGATCAGATATGGTCAGCAGGGTTCCGTCGTCGGCCCAATGGGCTGAAGCTGGCTGTTACAGCACCAAACTACACATCCAAAAAGAGTGAAAAGGTGTATCAGGGCCCTAAATGCCAGGAGGCATGGAATGATGAATTGAGTACACTTCGTCACTTCTGCATCAGCAAGCCCACGCCCGGCATGGTCGTAGTTCCCCAAAGTCGGGATCCAAAGAATGTGGAAGGATGTCACCAAGTTGTGGCCCTGCAATACCGCTGTCCGGGTCGCAAAAGGACGTAGAGATGCAGACGCATGATGATAATCAGATATAGTAATTACAACTATAGTATATTTAATATAGCACATATATATACAGACACACACACAGATATATATATATATATACATACACATTTTATATATATGATAAGCTATAGTAATGTAGTTTCATTATGTGTTATCTATCAGATTTCTACATACGTTTAATTGCGCTTATACATATTTACAAAAACATTATGTTGGCGCACGGTTGCAGAGAGTGCGCTCTTAGAGAGTTTGGGAACCCTTCTTTTGTTTGTTTGCGTGTGTGTGTGTGTGTGTTTGTGTGCGTTGGCGCAGGTCACTTGTTTCAATTTGTTGCTGGCTACAGCTTTCTGAGGGCATCCAGTGGACAACGCAGAGGGGATCGCCCCAAAGACATGGTGACCTGTCCCTGTGGCTGTGGAGATATGTGGCGATCTGTCTACCGCAAGTCTCAGGTCGAAACGCCACAAAGGGTCAGAGCTACAAATCAGACAATGCCTTTCAACCGCCACAAGGGGGGTTGTGGCCACGCAGCAAGGTGAAGTGGATCTTCATCTTCAGTGTTTTTCTATGATCTGCTTGGGTCCTGGGTCGCCCAGGGTCCCCGGTCCACTCCAGCCACCCCGAGAAAGTACACCAGTTGATCATCCAAGAACGACGAGTACGGACGAGACTCCTAAGAAGCGAAGTTGTGGCACGAAGTGGCGCCATGTCCACCAAGGCCTGGCACTGAGTGTGCGAGGAGTCTGGGGAGACTTTTCCATGTCGACGGATATAGACCGCAGGATGGGAGCAACATGCCCTGTCTTGCTAAGTGCCCGGTGTCCCCTTAAGATACCAAGTTTCACCAACAGCGAACATGATCTCACATCCTTTCGTGGTGCCCACAATGTTCACATCCATCGACCCAGTCCTTTATCCACTTCTAAAGCACCACTGTAGATCATTATTGCAGGTTGTGGCTGTCGACCATTTTCTTGCATGGTTTGATAATGTTGCTATATTCATTTGTGATGCGGTACTGAGATGCTTCCATTATAATGCTTCTTGGGAACATCTGAGCTACAGAATAAAGAAACCAACATATATATAAGTTATATATATATATATACACACCCTCAAACTGAAGGTCTCTAGTCTTCCGACCCCCTTCGAAGGTGCTGACTTAGGATTTGCTGGTGGAGCATGTGTTTGCCCCAACCACATGCTGCGTCAGACTACCTGTAACGTCGAAGTGGTCATCGATGGGTTTGTAGAGGCATTTCATAATCTTGTTTTCCCCATATCTCATGCCATGAACGCGTTCCACGTCGACTCCTTCCTTTTCAGGCACCTGACTCACCGAAGGAAGCCACGAACAACTTGTCCTCTCGTCCTCTCTCGGCCCTCTCGTGTCCTCGCTGGTCTCTCGAGGCTTCGAAGGGGAAGTCGGGTGGCTCTCCGACCAATGGCTCCTCCCAGAAGGTGGGGCGATCAGCGGACCGGGCGAGCACGATCACCGGCTGGAGGATCCGCGGATCGCTGGTGCTTGGGTGCGGGACTGTTCCACAAAACCCAGTGAAAGATGGTGAAAGTAGCAGGGCCCGGGCGCACCCAAGACCAGGATTTTCTCACCGAAATGGGGCTTGGAGGCCTGACCTTGCTGGCTCGAAGAACAATTGAGCAACTCTGTAAACCTCCCCGTTCATGTTTAGTGGTGGGCTTGTCATATACGAATGGTTCGCGTAAGCAAAACATAAGGAACACATTGGTGCGCGTAAGGTTGCATAAGCATTTTTGATATTTTTTTGTGGGAGATGCATCTCCAACATACTGTAGACAGAGTGCGCGGGCAGACAGCCGATACTATATATGCTGGACTTTTGATTCTTGCAGCTAGATACTATATATATATATTATGATATATTTGGAATGCAAGGACACCTTGTCAAAAGTCGAGCAGCCAGGTGGTCGGCCCCAACATCAAGGGCAACAGGGAGGACAGCGGGGGGCAGAAGGCTTGGAGAAACTGCACATCCCAGTCCCGGTTTGCAACGGCATTGCGCTCCTGTAGGAGTTTCATGTGTGGATCGGTCTGACCGCATGCTGGGCTTGGTGTATGTATATTGAATGACCTTAATTAGTGCACACCGAGCACAATGGTGCCTTTTAGACTTGCCGTCCCCATGAGATTGTGCATGTAAAGGAGTACCAGTTGGTGATGCATCTACAAAGCGCTTGGCTCGGTTGGTTTCAGCTTGAGATGGCAGCCTCAAGTTCAAAAGGTGGCTTCCAAGACAGATCTCTTCATTGGCGATGCGACCTTGTATCAGGGACTGCCAGGCAAACCCGGGAACGAGGCACATGAGTCATTGCATGGCATCACAATTCTGTACAATTGTCACTGTCTTGGGCTCCAAGTTTGTTCTCTCATTGACTCGATTTTTCCATTGCTCTCATCTCCAACTGCGGCCTGTCTTCGGTCCACAGGTACTGACTGGCCCGCCGCGCAACCGGTCGCCCTCGGCCCATCAGCCCAAGGTGCCCTTTTTGGCGGCGTCTATGAGGCCAAAGGCTTGTCCAGCGGCAAGGACTTCGCCATCAAGGTCTCCGACGGGGAGAGATCTGGGCTACTGGAGAGCCGGAGAGAGATCATTGGGGTGGATGGGTATCGGTGGAGGAGGAGATCTGGAGGTGAATTCTTCAAATGGTGGAAGCAATGCTTCACTCACTTTTAATGTAGAATCAATGCTTCATTCTGGAGATCAATCCAGAACATCATCAGGTTGTCCCAATCATTTCTTTTGCCCTGCTGTGCAGGGTTCCTGCACCTTCAAATCAAACGCCACCCCACTATCTGACTATCTTAGGTGACTCTGAATCTTTCACCTTCGTTCCGACCATCTCAAGAGTCGCCCTTTGGGCAGTAAGGTCGGTGTTTTCCATGTTTTTTGTCGTGGACCAAGATCTCGGCTCAAGCTTCACCCCCCATTTGGTGAGGTGAATGCTCGAGTCCACCAGTCCAGGATCCAATCTTTCACTCGATGATCCAGAAACAGATGCATAGCCCGACCTGCATCACTATATATATATATAATTAGGTCCTTTTATTGAAACGTCGCGCCCCCCCTCCCCCCTCCGACACACGAACTAAAAGGCAACTTAACAGGCGACCTTTCACGGCTGTACGGCGCCACTCTAGCTGGTGCCACGTCGCCATGGCTATCCCCAGTCCTGGTTGCAGTAAACCGCCACCAGCGGCGATTGCGGGCACTTTGCTGAATGAAACCATGCGGTGGGAAGAGCTGCTTGGCACTGGCACGGTGATGGGTTGGACCATTTTGACCCACTGCTGCTCGCATTGAAGCAGTAAATGCCGAATAAACAATCGTAGACATGGATTTGACATGATTTGACCTGGTGTCCCATTCCCCAACCCAGGACTTTTGGGAGCTATTCCGAGCCCGGGTTCTTTTGGCACGGGGGGCTTTGAATTTGTGGACATTGCACACCTTTGCCAGTGAAATGGTAGCAAGAATCATGTGGCCAGGTGATCTTACTATCTCTCCTCTCTCCTCTCTCCTCCTCACAAGGCCCGGATTACCAGCAGTGGACCGGAGAGTGCTGACCTACGTGCCAACAGCCGGAAAAGAGTCTGCACCGATGCCACTAGCAACTTGTTGTTCAAACAACATGTTTTCTTGTAGCTCTAGTGGCTTTCAGCTGTTTGGGAACCCTTTGTTTGTGCCAGAGCACAGGGCTAAACTGTTCCAGGAGCAGGTAGGAACAGAAACACAATCCAAGAACTGAACTATCAATCATCAATGATGCAGAGGCATTTTGACTTACAGCCGGCTGGCACAACATCCCTACTCCCTATCAGTTTGCAGGCCTATCTTGCTGCCAGTGTTTCGCACTTTTTCTATTTATGGGACAGAGACTTTCATGCTTTCCAGTCGCGTACTTGCACCCTGCTGTGCACGTGCTTGGAACCAATCCTGGCATTCAGCTTGCAACGGGACAACCTTCGCATAAATTTGCAGTGTTCAGAATGTATAGGAACATCGGCAACTGTTCATGCCACAGCCCCAAGTCTCAGGGCGATCGTAGATTCAGAGACGCAAACGACATCAAACGACACAAAGACAAATACCTCTGCACTTGGAGAGGCTCAGCAGTTGGAGTTAGCCTCCTTGCATCCTTAGGTCTTGGTGTTCCATGGATGGGGCGGGGGCCCTCACCTGTACCACGTGACTTGGCTTCTTTCTGCGGTTAGATGGTGAGGGATTAGTTCGGGAGTAGAGGCCTCAGACCTTCAAAGCACCCTGCTGGCTTCGGGATTTTGTATAAGGTGCTCTTGATGGACTGACACAGCTGGGTGGCTCTTGTGCATGACCATGCCCGACGTGTCTTTTTTTTAACGTTGGAGAGGGACCTTCTGGGGGATCAGCTAAACACAGGGACATGAACGATTCCAAGTATCATAAGTATATCCGTGTTTCTCAGGATGGCTCACTAGACACAAATCCCACGGCTCATGGAGCTCAAGTATAGAACCTCTACTTAAAAAAATCTTGCACTTTGGAGGCCCAGGCCCTGGATTGCCTTCCAAACTCCAGCGGCTCACGTTGCCAAACTGACCCCAGCTGCCAGTCTGAGAGGATGCGACCAGCTTCAGCTTGGGTTCCAGGAACCTTAAAAGTAACCGGTTTCATTGACGCCTCGCACAGTGTTGCCACAAGATTGGTGTTCTCTTTTTTGCATGCCTTCGAGGAAGGAATTGCAGGACCGATTGGTGGGGCCGATGTGTAGAATCGAGACATTCAACAATTCTATTCTATTCCATGAGCGTGCCCAAACACGCTGCCACCATCAACCACCCGACCCACCTTTGATTGATTTCAAACTTTCAGGAGTGGAGTTTTTTGATCTTATGGCTTCTTAGGAAAGCAGCTAGTAGCCACCTGCCTCGCAGCGAGCCCAGGAAAAGTTCACCTTTGGAAAACTGGCCGAGGAGGCCGGCTTCTTAGCGGTCTACCCTGAGGGCTTAAGCCGCCTGGCTTTCGGATGGAGGGGAACTCCGAACGCAATAGCTCGGGCGGTTTGGGAAGCATTAGTCTGGAGATGGCTGAGGCATAGAGGCACAGAGCTTGGCATTTTGGTGACATAAAGGTGCACATCAGCAAAACCAGTACCAAGGTTAGGGATTGACACCAGGTGAGGAGCATTCTCTGGATGGACCACAAACGTGTTTTTGTGGTGGCGAGGAAGAGCCGGCAGGAGAGGCTGCAACAGGCCAGCTCATGTTCCTAACCTGTCGAGAAGTGCTTGTTATATCCTTCCCGTGGACAGCTTCACGCCAACTTCCATCATATTCCACCATCATATTCCAGAATCTTATCATTATCATCTACTCGCTTGTGGTGAGAAACTTGTTCAGTTGAGCGTTCAGCAGCGACCCTGGTCACGCATGTCCATCCGTCATGTCCGGAGCCGATTGGGTGGCGCAAGGCGCATCGAGCCTGAAAAGTTTCACGGTGCCAAAGGTGGCCACTGCCAAGCAATTCTTGTTTCTATTGGGGGGTTGTGAGTTATGAGGTGATATAAATATATGGGAAAAACTATATATAAAATAATACCAGCATAGACCCCAAACAGCTTCAAAACGATTCGTTTAGACCAATATTAGTCAAAAAACGATTTCTTGGTACGCCTTAATTACCTTCACCCCAAGAGTCATCAATGAATTCTTGTCGGCATTGACATCGCTATTTGTTCGGACACACTCCTCTCCAGTAAACCGGGCCACAGAGTTCAGGGGCGTGGCCAAGACAAGGACAAGAGGAGGACAAGACCCGGACACAGAGCCAGGCCACAAAGGACAAGGCCCAGCCAGTGGCCCAGCCACAGCCCAGCCACAAAGGACAAGAGGAGGACAAGGCCTGGACACAGAGCCCAGCCACAGATGAGAAGAGGAGGACAAGGCCCAGCCACAGAGTTCAGGGGCGCGGCCAGTGAGTGTGGCCAGCTCTTTTTTTCTAAGATAGAACCCCAACAGTAAACTGTTTGGGGAAAAACATGTTAATTACCAGGGCCGTTGGAGTGCTCACGAATGGACCACTCACTGCTAGTGACTGCTAGTGCATTGGACAAAAATGGCATGACGGGGTTGTGACAACCGAGGCGACGTGCATGGGGCTTGGTACCCGAAACGCTCCTGGAAGCCTGGTGGATGTGGTCAGTTTTGGTGGTCGTTTTCGGTGGATGAGTGCCCAGGACATGTGGCAGGAGGGAGGGGATGGAAGGACCTAGTTTTGCTCTTTTGCTTGCCAGCTCGCCCGAAATCGAAACGACAACATAGCGAGCTCAATCAAGTCCTTCTGGTATATAATTTGCAGGCTAGGTTCTCAGTTTTCAAGCTGAGTCTTCAACGCGCTGTATACTTGAGGAATACCGGGGATACCACTGTGGAGAAGATAGATGCTCCAACGGAGGTTTGCGACCCGAAAGAGGTTACTGCAGCTTGGCAGTGAGATGTATAACGGTAAACTAGTAAAGCACGGTAATAGTAGTAAGATTGCTCCTAGTTATTTTATAAAGCCTTGTTTTGAAGAGGCTCTTGAGACCTGCGACATCCAACTTGCTCGTGCGTTGTTTGTGCGAGTGTACGTTGTACATTAAGCTTGCATAAACTAAGCAAACTGGACTTGCACTGCAAACTGTCCCACACTCTTTCTGTCCATAGATTGCACAATTTACGCTGGCGTGGGGTGCTTTTCAATGAACGCCTTGAGGCCAAAGGCGTTTGCTACCAGAGCTGCATCATCAAGTATGGGAAGTGTAAGAAGTGTTCGTGGACCACTTGCCGCTCGGCGTTTGGTGATCGACCACGGAAGGGTGGAGAGAAGGGACCGACGCCGCTGGCGTCTCTCGTGGTGGTGCAGTGCACCGAAGGACCGTCGCCCTTTCTTTTCAGCTCCGGCGGCTGAGGCTATGATGATTTTGCGTTCATCATGAAGCTGCTCGTTGGGACGTTGAACTGACTGGCCGTTGTTCAAGATTGTACTCGCTGGTTCTGCACTCGAGTGCATCAAGTTGCTAAACAACATTAAACAACCATCACTTCAACTTAAACCCCAACCAAGCCCAAGAGTCGCCCCTTGGCACTGCTCAACAAAAGAGTTCATGACCACGCAGATGCGCCTTTGGATCACAATGTTTGCGATGTTTGGACGGCTTCCAGGCTTCTCGACGACGTCGAAAAGAGGTACTGCATCGATCTGAGCTCCTTGGTCTCAGACAGAGAGACTCCCCAACTCATTGGTGGGCCAGATAGGGAGCCAGTATGATCTATCCTAGGCTTCATATGCGCATAGACGTCCAGTCACTGCCAGCCAGTTGTGAGTTGGACTTGCAGTTTGGTGTCCAAATCTTTAGACAAAAGGACATCGCTTCTGTACCGTTTCGGACCTCGCCCAACAACTATTCCTCAGGCATCCCAAGTTTTCTGTTCAGGTTCCGTTTTCGCCTATGGGTGCTCCAATGGCGGTGTCTTTGCGCACGCTTTGGCTCGCAAAGCGCCCGGAAAGTTCAAGGCCATCGCAGCGGGATGTGGTGCCAAGCCGCACCGTGGTTTCTAGGTGACACTGAGAGCCAAGGGGCCGAGCTTGAATGGTTGGCGGTTGGTTTATGTTGGTTTGGTTATATACGTTATTTGCTTGTAGCCACTCACTGAAAACAGTGGACAAGGTCAGGCCAATTGGCGTAGGCGCCACGCATGGCCCCGGAATTGGCTCATCTCTCTTCGCCAGACGCGTTTGAACATTGAGCATATTGAAGTTATTTTAAAGATGTCAGCATTTGTCAGATTAAGATCCTACCTATGACTGGGTTTGATAGCTTTAGTTTTGAAATGGAGAGTTTAAGCCTAATGTTTCAGGGTGCAAACTGTTCGGGGAATATTGCAGTTGCACACAGACAGCTTACTACCATTTTGATCCATTTTGCAGTGGGTTCAGAATGGGAGGCACCTATATACATATTAGAGATGAGCTTTATATAATTAGTTCTATCGCATAATGTGCGCGGGTATGCACAAACGACATTTTACAGCGCATGCTGTGACCGCTTCGGTTGCGCATGCACATGCACAAGATGGAGAAACCTATATAATACAATTTATTAATCTTTAATGCATATTCTACTGCTAGCCAGGCAACGGGTTGTTTGTCGCTTCTTCAGCTAAAGCCGGCGCCACCAACTCCAATCCCTTGTCACTTTGTTTGGTGGTTTCCACTTTCCTCTGCCTGAATTGGTGAGATACCAATTGCCCCCGAAGTTGCACGTCAACAGTTGAATGGCCAGACTGAGCTAGCCGCCCGCCATTAGCCGAACCACCCGACACTAGCACTATCCCTGCATCATGTTGCCCAGGCTATGAAACAAACTTCACAGCTGGAGGCGAACCGGTCTCAATGGTGCTCTTTCAAGGAGGCGAGGATTGGACCATCCCTGCAAAGACTCCAAAGCCCCACGCCAGATGGTGGGATGGATACATTTACGCCGCTGGTTTGCAAGAGTGCTGGTCTAAACGTCAATATCTGAGTTTGCTTGAAGTAATTGTAGAGGTGCCTGATGGCTGAGATATTTGGAAGGCATTAAATTGAATTGATTGCAACATATTGCAGCTTAACCTTGATGCCAAGTGCTGCTGAAGTGAGGCGAGTGACACCGCGGTGAGAAAGGCGTACAAGGACTACAACAAGTGTTCGAATCAGGGTCCGCGACCTTTCGTGCAGCCGCCACATGTGCATAGTCAACAGATGTCCTGCACCGAGTATGGCTACGATTGCGCTGAGAACTCGAAGGTGGTGGAATGCGAGTTCCGCGGAGGTCTCCTGGATGCCGCTATTTCATATAGGTGCGTGTATAACCCTAAGGTAGGTGAGTGAATTTTCCCACTTCATGTGCACAATGTGTCAGATTCAATGCTTGACCACGGGGCTCAAAAGACCCTGCCACGAGTCCTTAATCATAGCATAAATAACTTTTTTATTAATAAAGCTTGACAATCAAATAAATTACATTTATCATATTTAATAAATAACATTATACAAGTTTGTTCCTGACTTTTTGTTAATTCATTTAATTTACCAAATTCATATTTAAACTCTTTTAATACATATTTATTATTCTTTTGATAACAAACAAAACCCGAATAATCCTTATAAAAATTTTGCGCCTTGCTCTATCGTTTTCGGTGCTGGGATGCGGATGGGAAAGCTCCCACGAATGGCTCACTGCAAAGTTCCCGCATTCGTGTCGATTTGGGCAGGATCACGCCGAATCCTCATTCTCATAATGGTCTTAGGTAAAACAGGGTAAGCCGGGCCGCTACTCATCCAACTCTGCTGGTGCACATGGAAATAATATAGCCCTCTCAGAGCTCCTGTTCAAAAATGACACGCAAGTTGTTTAACAGGGGCGATTGGTGCGGTCTGCAAGCCTCATGCAAGACCATGGTAGCGTGAGTGTGGCCACGTAGCCATGACAGTCGCCCTGGGGGCCCGGACGGTTACTGTCAGGTCACGACTTGGTGTTGGGCTTGGGGGCCAATGAGATCATGGACGGCCCAGAGCTTGCTTGGAACTTCTTCTGTGAGCAGGCGCAACTCCGGGAGAACTGCCGCATGCGTCAATATGTGAGCCTCAAGCTGCATTGGTTGGCTGCGGTACGTGACCTCTTCATGTGCAGGTAACCCTGACACCTTGCCACCTTAAAGACGCCCATGTTGGAGATGTGCCCTCTAAGTCTGGCAGACGGCGACATTTTTGCGTGAACTGTGTGCCCCCACACAGCGTCCTTGTTCTTTTTTTGGGCATGGGCCCCTTTTCGGGGATCCTTTTCGCACTTTTGGGCACCTGCAAGCGAAAAAGACACACCAACTCGACAGCCACATGGCCTGAGGAAAGGGGCTGATCCTTTATCAGCTGACGCTGGTTTCTCGATGATGGGCCTCAGGCAGTTTGGCAGGGTGAGGGGTGCATGCGGGTGCTGTTTGAGATGTACCTTTAGTAAGTAGTCTTTACCATGTGCGAGAATATCAGAGTTCAGGTGATGCCCCTAGTAAGATAACATGTTTGTTTGTTGATCCAGGGCCGTGGGCTCTGTGGCGGGGCTCTCGACTGCTGGACGCCACAGACCCAGGTAGGTCGTTTAAGATTCCCACGGATGGCACGGCTGTTTCAGGGTAGCCGGTTCCCCTACAAACATCTCTCATCATCCCTTTAATTAGCTGGAGTCGCTTTCCAGGTTGCCGATGATCCTGGCTTTCGCTTCTGTGCTTTGCCTTCTGAACCTCCTGCTCCTTTGGGCGCATCGCCGCAGCATGAGGCCGGTGGTTAGCCATTTTTCTTTGGAGAGTGTGGGAGGTGAAAAGAGGGAACATTACGGAGGATATGGCCTTAATGTTGGCTCTACTGTGCTGCGTGCAGTACAGCCCCCTTCAGAAGTACCAATTAAGAATTCTTTTCCATCAAGTGCTGCATAACTGTTCATGAATGTTCTGGCCCAACCTTGCCCCAAGCATCCCCAAGCACCCCCTCCCGAAACCCCTTCAGGTGCGGGCACTTCAGTCCAGTTCAAACACGAGAGGAAGTGGAGGAGTCGCCACCTGCGGCGAAGCTCGGCTGAAGTGAAGCAGCAGTGTAGGAGTGAGTCATTGGCGCACCCGGTGCGAGCAGGCAAAAGCAGCCATTGGACATGCGCTGGTTCAATTTGAGATGCAGATACCCTACCTGACTGTTGCTAGTTCTCATGGAGCAGGGATGTGTACCTGCCCCGCCTTGGCAGGTTGGGTTGCAAAACGACCAGTCCTGTTGGCGCTAGCGAGCAGCCTTGAGCTTTTGAGTGAAGCCAAGTGAACGAGTCATCGTTGCCCCAGGAGTTTTGGCACATTTTTGTGTCGCAGGCCTGTCCAGACATGGACATTCTTTTGTGTATGGTGACTTTCTTGTCGGAACGATTGGGAACGCCACCACCAGCTTGCTTCCTGCTTCAGCCAGCTTTTGCCATTGGGCGTGGCTGCGCGAACTGCGCATGTCACAGCTGCAGTCCACTTAGCTGAAATGCCCCGGGAGACTTGTATTCAACTTGTGGGGAACTGTTCAACTTTCAGGGCGAAGGGCTGCGAGAGCATACCATGCACAGTTTTTGAGTGTTGAGCATGTCTCATGAGAACACTACTGTACATGCTTCAGTAGATTTTCATGAAGGCCTTGAATGAACTGAACAAATTAATAGTAACTAATAGTATATAACTATATATATATATGGAGGTTTTGGATGAGCGAATGAGAAAAACATCAACGAACAAATGCAACATCCTCAAACCATTCGTTTCTTTGTCATGATAGGTTCATAACGCGCCCATGCTCTCTGACCCGCGCCTTTTTTTTGATCTCGATGTTAGTGCTTAAAGCATTACTGCCAGCGAGGTCCTGAAAAAAGTCCGTCTGTGGGCGCCAATGAGATCCTACGAGAAATGAATGGATTTTGTATCAGCCAAGTCTATTATTAGTCATGTAGGTTTAGACAGGGTCATTGTGTTGTTGCCGGCAACGCTGCAGGGGGACATCTTGGGAATCCTTGTCAACTTGTCAAGTCAGGTGCTTCACAAGAGCGAGCTGCAGAAGGCCCAGGGGACGATGTCAGGGTGAATCCTTATTTGGCTTTTTGGAACCCATCAGAATGCGCCAGATCCTTCCAGTTGGCACTTGGCAACATGTACCTGCCAGCTTTTTGTTTATTTGATCCGGGGCTCTCAACACCGTCTCGAGGCAATTGTTGTTTCACGCTAGGATGTCTAATACATGTCTCACTTACCTACCTTTTGGCTCAAGGAAAACCAGGTGCGACTTGTTGGTAGTTCTCGGTCGTTTACCTGTAACTACAGGTTATCAGCCGTATCGCCATAAGTGCGGTACGTGCTTTCTACTAGCTGTGGTCTCACCCCACCATAGGTAGTGCACTATCTAGAGGCCATGGCTGATGATGATGCTTCCCGTGGCGACCGCTCACGCTCAGGCTACGTTCCCACTTCGCCTGCGATGTCCAGTTCACCTGCTCCTGAGCTCCCTGTCGTTCCGCTGGAGTTGCGTGTGCCAGTTGTGCCACCGACGTTCGGTGCACAGGGGGACCTGTTGCCTAGTGGTCAAGCCCCGTCGCCGTTTCAACCTGAGTTTTCTCCTGTGATGAATGTCCAGAACGTTGATGCAAGACAGATCCATCAACAAGCAGTCTTTGTCAATGAGGACAGGTCAGCTCAGGTAGCTCAGATCGCGGAGCTGCGGCATCAGGCCATTTTGGCCGAGCACGGGCAACAAGCAGCAGATGATGCAAGACATTTTAGGGACTTAGTGGAGAACCAAGCTAAAGTGGCTGTCCAGGAGTCTAGGGAACAAATTGAGGCTTTAGCCAATCAACGATTGAGTGACATGAATCAAGCCCATCAACATCAACATCTTCATGAACAACGGGCTTACCTAGATCGCCTTTCACTCGAACGACACGCCGTCGTTGAGAACGAACGCGCCTCTGCCAAGCAAAGAGAGGATGCACTTCGGTCGGAGTTAGCCGAACAGAGTCGGATAATCAAGGAGTTGAGAGAGAGGTTTGACAACGCCTCGGGGAACCGAGTGCCTGCACCAACAATGCAGCCACTTGGGTCTCAGGTATCCCCAGCTTTGCCTCCGGCGAGCCTTCGCACTCAGTTGGAGAAGCCCGGGATCAAAGGCGGTGAAGAGCCTCATCCATCCGATGCTGATGAAGAGGGTGGTGACAAGTCAAAGAAAGACAAGAAGAAGAAAGGTAAAGAGAGGAAGAAAGAGAGGAGTCCAAAAAGGGGCCGCTCTAGAGAGCGCAGGAAGAAACGCTCTCCTTCCCCATCGCCTTCGTCACCCAGTTCGTCAGGAGGGAGTGATGACTCCAATGACTCAAGTTCTGAATCATCGCGTCTTGCACGCATCATCCGCAAGGAGCTGAAGAAGCAGCAAAAGAAGTCAAAAGACAAGGATCATGAGAGTAAAGCCAAAGAGGCTGACAAAATTCTCATTCCTAAGTTCCCCACACCTGAGAAGTACAGAGACTGGAAGATCAAGGTGAGGGACAACATTGCTGCAGCTTCAGCAAAGCCGGATGAAGCGAGGTCATGGGTTGGGAAAGTGTACAAAGAGTCCCAAACCATTGATGCCTTGGATGATTCAGAGGGATTCGCAACCCTCGACGCAAAGCTTCTTGCAAGCTTGACCAATTGCGCTGAGGGGGACCTCGGTCGGCAGATTGCTACATTCAAGGAGCTGCGTGCTCGTGAAGACAAGAACGTGAAGGGTAGGCACTTGCTCCTTCGGTTCCACGAGTATTTTGCCACGAGCATAAAGCATGGAGCAATCTACGGACTCGAAGACCTCATGTCCGTCAAAATGGTCAACGATGACCTCAAGGGCTTTATAAATAAATGGGATAGCGTTCTCGCCGGAATGAAAAAGGAACCAGAAAATAGTGTTCTGGAAGCCTATTTCCACCTGGCAGTGAAACGTTTCAAGCCACTTGAGCATGATTTGGCCTTGTACGACCGTGCAGCCGATGGAAGCAAAGAAAGAACGTACGACTTCCTGATCACTGCTGCCCGGGCCTACCTTGAACGGAGAAGGTTGGAAAAGATGCGCGACGCCACGAAGCGTTCGCTCGGGTCCAAAGACACAACCATGCCAGCTCCGGAGGAGAAGAAAGGTATCTGCTACGAGTTTCAAAAGACCGGAAAATGCAAGCGTGGATCATCATGTCCTTACAAGCACGAAAAAGGCCGCGAGAAAAGCAAAGGAAAGGGAAAGGGTAAGGATCGCAGCCAATCTCGGTCAAGATCGCTGACACCGGGATCTCGCAAGGAGACTTGCAAGTTTTGGAAGGCAGGACATTGCCACCGAGGAAAAGACTGCG